TAAATTTAATGGAAATCCAAATCATTATTATAGTTAAATTTGTGATGGATGTTTAAAGTAAAATTCGGTGTGTAACATTCACAAACTATCTATAAATGTCTAGATAGTGTATTTGAAGCACTAATACATCACTCATTTGCGTTACCGTATTTGAATTGGTTAAAACATGCCAAGAACGGGGTGTTACGAGTAATAAAGATTATTGAAAGTCAATGGAGTGCATTTTTATACTCTTGCAAACAGTTGTTACAGAGTATTATAGTTTTGTTCACCTAACGGTTGTACGTATCTTCTTCTTCTTCTTAATTGGCGTAGACACCGCTTACGCGGTTATAGCTATGTGGCGTAGCCAGGTCCTTCCTTACCTAGTCCTTCCAACGGAGTGGAGGTCTTCCTCTTCCTCTGCTTCCCCCGGCGGGTACAGCATCGAATACTTTCAGAATTGGAGTGTTTTCGCCAATTCGGACAATATGACCTAGCCAGCGTAGCCGCTGTCTTTTAATTCGCAGCACTATGTCAATGTCGTCATATATCTCATACAGCTCATCGGAGCATAAATCTTTCGCAGAACTTTTCTCTCGAAAACTCGCAACGTCGACTCGATCAGTTATTGTCATCGTCCAAGCCTCTGCACCATATAGCATTACGGGAATAATGAGTGATTTTTAGAGTTTGCTTTTTGTTCGTCGAGAGAGTACTCAGTCCGAAGTAGCACCTGTTGGCAAGAGTTATCCTGCGTTGGATTTCCAGGCTGACATTGTTGGTGGTGTTTATACTGCTTCCTAAATAGCCGAAATTATCTACAATTTTAAAGTTATGACTGCCAAGAGTGACGTGAGAGCCAAAGCGAGTGCGACGACTGTTTATTTGATGACAGGAGATATTTCGTCTTGCCCTCGTTCACTGCCAGACCCATTTGCTTTGATTCCTTGTCCAGTCGCGAGAAAGCAGAACTAACGGCGCGGGTGTTGAGGCCGATGATATAAATATCATCGGCATACGCCAGCAGCTGTACACTCTTATAAAAGATTGTACCTGCTCCATAAAGTTCTGCAGCTCGAATTATTTTCTCCAGCAGCAGATTGAAGAAGTCGCACTATAGGGAATCTGAAACCTCGTTTGGTATCGAACGGCTCTGAGAGGTCCTCCCCGATCCTGACGGAGCTTTTGGTGTTGTTCAATGTCAGTTTACACGGCCGTATTAGTTTTGCGGGGATACCAAATTCAGACATCGCAGCATAAAGGCAGCTCTTTTTCGTGCTATTGAAAGCAGCTTTGAAATAGACGAAGAGGTGGTGTGTATCGATTCTCCTTTCACGCGTCTTTTCCAAGATTTGGCGCATAGTGAATATCTGGTCGGTTTTCCAGGTCTGAAGCTACACTGATAAGGTCCAATCAGTTTGTTGACGGTGGGCTTTAATCTTTCACACAATACGCTCGATAGAACGTTATTCGATGTTGAGGTGGCTTATCCCACTGTAGTTGGCGCAGATTGTGGTGTCTCCTTTTTTGTGGATTGGGCAGAGCACACTTAAATTCCAAACGTTGGGCATGCTTTCGTCCGACAATTTTTTGCAAAGAAGCTGATGCGTGCTCCTTATCAGTTCTTCGCCGCTGTGTTTGAATAGGTCGACCGGCAATCCATCGGCCCGCGCTTTGTTCCTCAGGCGGGTAATTGCTATTCGAACTTCTTCATGGTCAGGCAATGGAACGTCTGCTCCATCGCCATCGATTGGTTAATCGGGTTCATCTTCTCCTATCGTTGTACTTGCATGATAACTAAATGCGCCATAAAAATATGACGGCGGGATGGTATTATAAGGCTTTGTATGGGTCGGGGTAAAAATTGGACAATGGACAAATTTTGTATGTGGTATTCTTTTCATATTTCTATGTCACTCTGTGAAAGTTAATGAAATCGGACAATAACCACGCCTACTTCCCATATAGCACAATTTCAAATTCCAATTTATTAGTTCAGTTTACAGTACACAAATTAAGAAGCAATTAGTATAACGGGAAAAACTTTGCACGAATAATGCCTTTAGTGTATATCACCTTATGGCAAAAAATTGTTTAAATCCAACCAAAACTGAAAACGCTAGGTACCGAATATGTGGACCACAGTACCTATGGTAGACTTTTGATGGAAAATGTCGGTCAATGTGTGAGATATATAATTTAAATTCAGGGATAGTACTTCTCTCACAATAGCATGTGTGTATGTCCAAAATGGATTGGATCGGACAAAATATTTAATATTATATAAAAACTTTAGAATTTTGGGGTGACCAATATTTGAGTTATCCAAATGAAAATAAGTGTGTTTTTTATTTATAACAGTGTATCTTTGTGTCAAAAATAGATAAATTTTAGCGAAAACTTGGTCTAGCCCCTATATAACTAATATCAGCATTTTCGAACATCCAGCTGACTTTACTCTATATGACTGGTTTTACACCTTAAATTATTTCCCTGGCTTTCATTCTTCCAAGTCGCAAGAGTATAAAATGTTCGGTTGCACCCGAACCTACTCTTTCTTACTTGTCAGTGGTTATTTTTGTGATAAAGGCATTAACACCACAGGGTGGCGATTGACCTGGAAAACCTACAGCATTTAAAAGATTAGTTATTTTTCAAGTTCAAGAATTGGAAGAAAAAAAAAAAAGGGTATCCTTGAAAATATGCGTAAGCAATTAGAACAAGTTGATGAGGAAATGAAAATGATCAAATATCAGTAATATATCTCTAATTTAGTCATTCGAATGCTAGTCAATCGTACTGTAGACAATGCTTAATATTATTTGATGTTATTTAATTTCTTAATTAATGTTTCTTCTTTTTTGTGATCAATAATATTGAAAAAACTGACTGTATGGTGAATTAATAATAAAAAAGAAGTTTAACTTCTAACAAATTGATAAAAATAGTAATTTTTGGATTTTCAAAAGTTATAAACATTTGATCGAAAGAAACTGATCTTTTATGGATAGTTGGAAATCTGAGTCAATTCCGGGTATTAAGTGTAAAATATAGTAAACAAAAATTATTTTTAAAATAAATAATTTACAATTACATCGAATTTTTTAATGACAATTATGTTTTTGTAGGTTCAGGAATTTTATTTTCGGTCAGGGAAAAGTCTTGGAAAAGTCAGAGAATTTTAAAATTAGTGTTCAGTCGATACCCTGCAACATGTTTGACTACTCCTCACTACTTTAAACTAGTTGAAGTTATACTGACTGTGTTTCATGAATATTACAATGCTAAACATTCGGGCGATTTGCGCAAGTGATTTTTATTTCCCAGTAGATCTTTCTTATTGGTATGGCGCCTTACTTAAGGTGGAACGCAATTACAGACAAGTTATTTTTCCAAATGAGCCTACATTATTTTTTGTCAATTTCTTACATGTCGGAGGATGCATTTGTTGCGAAGCGAAGTCAAGTGTTGCTTTTGAAAAGTTACTGAGAGCTGTTTGAGAAGATAAATTTATTTTATGCATCGTAAAACACCCGTCGTAATATTTCTAAGTTTTTAATATAAAAATTACATATTCTAAAACTAAAGACAATTAAGTAATTTGTTTATTTTATACATCAAAGAAGTTCGTTTTATAGCGAATTTTTAATATTCTAGTGCTTCACAAGCTGGATATGAGGGTATCACTAATCGTCTTTTAGATGCTGGAGCTGACGGTCGCTCACATGCTGTTACCAAATACTCGCCACTTTATGTTGCTGTACATCATGGATATTATAATATTGCAAAATTAATGTTGGAACGATTCCCGGAATTGATAAAGGTAATTATATATATTTTGTTTAGTTTTTGCTTATATTAGGTTGTCAAAAAAGTCTTGCGGTATTTTCGCTAGTTGGCGCTGAGAGCGCGTAGTTTTAGTTTTATTCGTCGCATCGGCATTTACAGTACTACTACGATAAAGGCAAAAATGCATCCCAAGTCGCCAATGAAATTTGTGCAGTTTATGGACCCGATACAGTTTCCATTTCCACCGCACAACGATGGTTTCAACGTTTTCGTTCTGGCGTAGAGGTGGTCGAAGAGAGAGCCACGCTCTGGAAGGCCTGTCGTCGAAAATTGCTATAAAATCGAAGAAATCGTCGAAAGAGACCGGCATATTAGCAGCCGTAGCATCGGTCAAGAGCTGGGCATGAGTCATCAAAAAAAAATTTATGAACAATTGAAAATTCAATAAAAATACCGCAAGAAATACCGCAAGACCTTTTTGACAACCTAATATAATTCATATACATACCTACATACATACATGCATGTAATTGAACTTGAGTTTTATAGCAACCTACAGTGGAGCGTTGGCTGCCAATACATGCCGCCTGCATTAACGGCCATATTCCTTTACTTGAGTTGCTAATCGGATTTAAATATCCACAAAATTTGTACAGTACTTATCGCGATGTAGAAGGCCAATGGGAGTGGCGTTTACCTTTTGATCCTAATGCCCAAGATGTAACTGGCCAGACAAGCCTTTATATTGCCAGCATACTAGGCAACAAGTCATTGGTAAATTTGTTACTTAAATGGCGAGTGAAATGTCAGAAAACAGTTGCAATTGAAGTTGATGGAAACGGAAAAGATGCAACACGAAATTCTAGTAGCAGTAGTACTCCTATTACGCCTACTCGCAAGCGGATTTCATTTGGTATCCAAGCAATTATGTTAAAGTTAAATATTACTGGAGAGGATGATAATCGAGTTGATGTAAGTAATAATAATAATAATAATAATAATATTAATAATAA